TCCTGGACTTTTCTTTTTGGGGAGACTCTTGATTGCTGCTTCAATTTCATTTTGTGTTATAGGTCTATTCAGGTGATTAATTTCCTCTTGGTTCAGTTTTGGATGATCATATGTATCTAGAAATCTGTCCATTTCTTTAGATTTTCAAATTTATTTGAATATAGGTTCTCAAAGTAGTCTCTGATGATTTCCTGGACTTCCATGGTGTTTGTTGTTATCTCCCCTTTTGCATTCCTGATTCTACTAATTTGGGTTTTTTCTCTCCTCATTTTAGTCAGGTTTGCCAGGGGTCTATCGATCTTGTTTATTTTTTCAAAGAACCAACTTTTTGTTTCATTAATTCTTTGTATGGTTTTTTTGGTTTCTATTTCGTTGATTTCAGCTCTTATTTTTATTATTTCTCTCCTTCTATTTGTTTTGGGATTTGCTTGTTCTTGTTTTTCTAGGAGTTTGAGATGTATCATTAGGTCATTGATTTGGGATCTTTCAATCTTTTTAATATATGCACTCATGGCTATAAACTTTCCTCTCAAGACTGCCTTAGCTGTGTCCCATAGGTTCGGTAGGTTGTGTTTTCATTTTCATTGACTTCTAGGAACTTTTTAATTTCCTCTTTTATTGCATCGATGATCCATTCTTCATTAAGTAATGAGTTATTTAGTTTCCAGCTGTTTGCATGTTTTTTGTCTTTACTTTTGTTGTTGAGTTCTACTTTTACTGCATTGTGGTCAGATAGTATGCATGGTATTATTTCTATTTTCTTATATTTGCTGAGGCTTGCTTTGTGCCCTAGGATATGATCTATTTTGGAGAAGGTTCCATGGGCTGCTGAGAAGAATGTATATTGTGTAGAGGTTGGATGAAATGTTCTGTAGACATCTACTAGGTCCACTTGATCTATTGCATATTTTAGATCTTGGATTTCTTTATTGAGTTTTTGTTTGGATGACCTATCTATTGATGATAATGGAGTGTTAAAGTCTCCCACAACCACTGTGTTGGCGTTTATATATGCTTTTAGGTCTTTCAGGGTATGTTTGATGAAATTGGGTGCGTTGACATTGGGTGCGTACAGATTGATGATTATTATTTCCTTTTGGTCTATTTCCCCTTTTATTAGTATGGAATGTCCTTCTTTATCTCGTTTGATCAATGTAGGTTTGAAGTCTACTTTGTCAGAGATAAGTATTGCTACTCCTGCTTGTTTTCGGGGGCCATTGGCTTGGTAAATCTTCTTCCAGCCTTTCATCCTAAGCATATGCTTATTTCTGTCGGTGAGATGAGTCTCCTGTAAGCAACAAATTGTTGGATCTTCTTTTTTAATCCATTTTGTCAAACGGTGTCTTTTGATGGGTGAATTAAGTCCATTAACATTAAGTGTTAGTACTGATAGGTATGTGGTGATTCCTGCCATTTAGTTATCTTAGTTGTTTGAAGGTTTGATTGTGTGTACCTAACTTGATGTTACTCTCTACTGTCTTGCTTTTTCTTATCCTGTGGTTTGGTGCTGCCTGCCTTTTCATGGTTAAGTTGGGTGTCACTTTCTGTGTGCAGGATCCCTTGCAGAATCTTTTGTAATGGTGGCTTTGTGGTCACATATTGTTTTAGTTTCTGCTTATCATGGAAGACTTTTATTGCTCCATCTATTTTGAATGATAGCTTTGCTGGGTAGAGTATCCTGGGGTTGAAGTTATTTTCATTCAGTGCCCGGAAGATCTCACCCCACGCTCTTCTTGCTTTTAATGTTTCTGTTGAGAAGTCTGCTGTGATTTTGATGGGTTTACCTTTGTATGTTACTTGTTTTTTCTCTCTTGCAGCCTTCAATATTCTTTCCTTAGTTTCTGAACTTGTTGTTTTAATGATGATATGTCGTGGAGTAGTTCTATTTTGATCTGGTCTGTTTGGTGTCCTGGAGGCCTCTTGCATTTGTATGGGAATATCTTTCTCTAGATTTGGGAAATTTTCCGTTATTATTTTGTTGAATATATTACGCATTCCCTTCGCTTGCACCTCTTCTCCTTCTTCGATGCCCATGATTCTCAAGTTTGGTCTTTTGATGGAGTCAGTGAGTTCTTGCATTTTCTTTTCACAGGTCTTGAGTTGTTTAATTAATAGTTCTTCAGTTTTTCCTTTAATTACCATTTCATCTTCAAGTTCTGAGATTCTGTCTTCTGTTTGTTCTATTCTGCTGGATTGGCCTTCCGTTTTGTTTTGCAGTTCTGTTTCGTTCTTTTTTCTGAGGTTTTCCATATCCTGGCTGTTTTCTTCTTTATTGTTGTCTATTTTTGTCCTGAGTTCATTTATCCATTTATTCATTGTGTTCTCTCTTTCACTTTGGTGTTTATACAGTGCTTCTATGGTTTCCTTTATTTCTTCTTTTGCTTTTTCAAATTCTCTATTTTTATTGTCTTGGAATTTCTTGAGTGTCTCCTGTACATTTTGGTTGACCCTATCCAGTATCATCTCTATAAAATTCTCATTGAGTACTTGTAGTATGTCTTCTTTTAAATTATTCTTGTAGGCTTCATTGGGTCCTTTGGCATAGTTTATCTTCATTTTGTTGGAGTCTGGCTCTGAGTTTCTGTTCTCTTCATTCCCCTCTGGTTCCTGTACTAATTTTTTGCTGTGGGGAAACTGGTTTCCTTGTTTTTTCTGTCTTCCTGTCATTGTCCTTGGTGTTGTTACTGTCCCTGTACTGTGTGTAATTAAGTATTTTCTAGCTTGTAATAATAACAATGGTAATATTGAGAATGGAAGAGTGAGCTGAGATGGAAAGCAAGAAGTTAAAGAAAAGGGGAAAACAAATATACAGACAAGAGGGAGAAAGCAGAACAAGGTATCAGACAAGAGAGTTTCAAAGGTATAAACAGGGAGTGTTAGTGTACTAATCGACAGTAAGCTGAACAGACAATAGAGTGACAGAGAGAGGATTGAAAATCAAAGATAAAAAAAATAAAAAATAAGTATATGAAAGTAATATCTATTTATAAAAATGAATTAAAATAAAATGGAAAATAGAAAATTAAAAAAAAAAAAAAAAAAAAACCAAAAAACTTCCAAGTTTATATGCAATGCAATTTCAGTCTTAATAATTTGGATGTCCGTCTCAATCTCCAGTCCTGGAGTTGGTGCCTCAGATGTTGTTCTGTAGTTGTCTCATCAAAGGGGATGCATAAAGTAGAACAAAACTACACTCACACACACACAGAAGAAAAAAAAAAAAAAGCCCCACCAAGTGTCCCCAGTTCAAATGCAATACAGTTTCAGTAAGTTTTTCGGCTTGCAGGTGTAATTCGGTTGTTCTCTCATCAAAGGTAGGGAGAAAAAGAAAAAAAAGCGTCTGGAGGCAGTTCTGAGAGTGGTATCTGCAACTGTGGCTTGCCTGCCTGCTGCTCTCAGCCTGTAGCTGGCGGCGTTATTTATGCAGATCTCTGGGGTGAGCTTAGCACTCACCTGGTCCCACAGGCTTTGTTTGCTCAGAGTTCTCCTGTGCGGGGGAGGGGGGCCTCTGCTACAGGCTTTTCCCTTTCCAAGCACTGGGAAAGGCGACACTGCCCCGCGTTGTCAGGCCTGCGTGTTTATTTACAGTTCACGTGGGAAGTGGGTCTTCCCTCCTCTCACAAGCGTCCCGCTCCTGGTTGCTGGCGCGCCCCGCTCCTGCCAGAGCCTCTCCGGCCCGCCCGGCTCGTTTTTACAGTCCCGGGAAGGATTCCCTTCCCCCAATCTTCAGCGCTCAGGGCGCCCCCCCTTCCAGCGTGTCTTAACTGTTCTTATTGCTTAGTACTCAGTTTCTCTTTTTTTCCCGGGTGGAGGTCAGTCTGTCCAGGGGGCTATGCTGCTCTGGCCCAGGCTTGTCTGTGGGGGAACCGCGGTACCGCGAAGCTCACCTGGTCCGCGTCTTCCCAAGCCGTATGGGCGCCGGCCACTGGCGGCCCGGGGGCCTCCTCGGTTCTCCGTTTAACGTGAAGTGGAGATTCTCTGCGCCAGCTGGAGATGTGGAGGAGTCAAAGTTATGCCTTTTCTCGGTGATTATGCCTGCAAAGTGTGTCTCCAGCGTCTCTCCAAGATTTCACTATAGGAGGGTCGCTTTCTGCTTCCTACCTCTAGCCGCCATCTTGGAATTCCGTAGGAATTCTTTTAAAGATACATTTGACCTAGAAACTTCTAGAAAGCACTGTTTTGGGAATTATGCTTTTAAAGATTTTATTAAAATAATAATTTGGTTTGTAATAAGTTTTTAATATGGAATAATGACACATACTATATTTCACTTATACAATGTTCACTATGTATACACTACAGAAAAATATACCCATATATCAAGTTAACATTCTACTTGCATTATAAAATCATTTAACTCTGTCTCTCTCTCACCCTTGATTTATTAATAGGACAACTCTAAGACTCAATTATGCTTATTTTGTTTGGGGTCTGAGGCTGGCCTTATGAGAGGTCTGACTGCACTAGTAGGAAGCCAAAGAAATCTAGAAAGAAGGACTACACAATGACCACTTTTCTATGCTGAGCTCTTAACCAGAAAATGTATTTATACACACACACACACACACACACACACACACACACACACGAGTCCCATTTCTTGATATGATTTGAAGCAGGGATTATATAATCTATATATACACAAACATACACAGGACAGATGGATGTACATGTGTGTGTGTGTTCAATTCTTCATCTCAACTCAAGCATACTCTCTGCTCTGCCCACTAGTGTTCAAGACACAAGCTGCTATAAAATGGTGGCTCTCTGGAGTAGAGACCAGTAAGTAGTTCAGAGCCTACAGGGGGAGCTCTTTGAGATCCTTCACCATCACTTCAGTCATTTTGCTGCAACATGTTCAATATTTTTTCCATACAGGCAATATCTTCTCAAATATAATGAAAGCCATTTGTTTTTCTGCTGTCAGAGGACTATACATTAATGAAACATTCTTTCTATGGGCCATCAGCAGCAAATTAACACATCGTTCTGTGTTCCAGAGTATCCCACCCTCCCCAGATCGTTCTGCCCATTCATAACTGGCAAGCAGAAGAAGAACCTCGCAAAGAAGAGGAAGTTGGACCCTTGGTGGGGCATATTTATGAGGTAGCTGTTTTCTTTGCTAAGGGTGTGTTGGGGTTGATTCTTAATTGTCTTCAATAATAAACACAACATTTTTAAGATCCCAATCCAAGGTCTAAGCTTCATGTACTGCCCAGATACATGCTATCCTATCACAATATCTGGAGTGGGTATTCTGTAGAGTCCCATTGACTTGATCTCTTGCTCCTCGTGGTGACAGTCATTACATGGTAAGAAACATAGTGTTTTCTTATAGCTCTTTTTTTTATGTTCATTATTTGTTCTCTTTTTAATATTTGGAGATCCTATACACTGAAATGACTAGCTCCCTAGACTTTATTTTTTTCCTACATTTTCAGATATCCTTAAAATTTATCCAACTCTTAAACTAAAGGTCACCAACTGTAAGGTACCAGCAGAAAATTTTATGAATTATTCACTATTGTACATAAAAAATGGACATATAATTAATGAGATGGGTGTCTAGCAGATTAGAATAATTTTACTTTTCCTTCATACATCCCAAATTGGAAATGAGCAACTTGTTCTGAGATTTGAAATACTCAATTGATTAGTAAAATATTTTCAGAGGCGAACAGTAATACATGTAATGGAACCAATGTTCTCTTCCTACTTCAAGTGTCAAGTTGTGAATAGAGAAAAGATTTGTTAACACATACCTAAAATGCTTAACTTTTTACTGTCAAAAGCCAGCATGTAATCCCAGTTAATTGGGAGGCAGACACAGGAGAATTGTGGTTCCAGTTCAGCCCAGGCAAAAGTTAGCTAGACCCTGTCTCAACAAGATGCTGGCCATGGTGGTATACTTGTATAATTTAAGTTATATGGCGGGTGGAGATAGGAGGACCATGGTCTGAGGCCAGCCCCAGGCAAAAGCACAAGACCCTATCTGGAAAACAAACTAGAAACCAAAAGGACTAAAGCATGGTTCAAGTGGTAGAGCACTTGCTTAGCAAGTGCAAGGCCCTGAGTTTATATGAAAATATTGTATAAGATTACCTTCAGACTATGTGTATAAAGGTACCACTCCCCCCCTCAAAAAAGCTAACATATTCTAATTGAGGTTTCTCCTCCATTAATACTTCATCTTCCTTTCCTGTGTAACTCATGCTACTGATGTAATGATTCTGAATATGACTTTTAGCTCAAGCTTCAATGGACATAAATAGCAATCTCTCTGGTTAACAATAAAGTCATTTCCCAAACTGTTGAGCTGTTTCTATAAATGGGGAAGAATCCTCAACTCCTGGGTCACATTAGCATAAAAACCTGTCATCTGCCCAACCTCCAGCTCAGGTTCAGAGCCCTGGTCAGAGCTGGCTCAAAGCTGTGCCTTTAAGCTTTGCTGACATCCAAAGGATAACCTTGTTCAATGCTACTCAGATCAAGAACCTCACTGTAAAAAAGTGAAAAGCTTCCAGATAACTTATTAAACTTGTGTGCACCAGTTTCTGCTCAAGAGTGGTCAAACTTAAAAGTTAGAAAACACTTTCTGGCTCAGTCATTCTCATCATGGCCTTACTTTTAATCTTAGCATAAATGGATCCTAAAAGTTTAGGCTAATTGCCTGTGGTGCCAATGGCAGTCATCAAATGTTTTTTGCATGCTATTCTCACGTCTCAAAATATACTGTACCAATGAATGTCACACTTCCTTGATAATGTGAATTAACTAGGCCACCTAATAAGCAAAGACAACAATACATTGTTTTATAGATGATAATTGTCAAAATGGGGGGATGGGAAAAAGAGGATCTCTGATAATTTTGAGGTGAATTTTTAAAACCACAATAAATTGAAATGTGCTTAGGGTTTTGGACAAGCTGTTTTGTGTCTTCCGAGTATGAAATTTATGGTTTAAATTACATTTTTTAAAAAGTCCACTTCTTTATGAGATGTCGCTTTTCTTTCCCTGGGGTTTGCTGATTAAAACAGAAGGAGCCCAGCTTTGAAACACACTGTAGTGAGCACAGACAGGCTCTGGTTCTTGATGGATGGCTGTTTTCCCAGAGGGTGAAAGAAAGTGCATCACATATGGTTGCAATTGACGAGTCAGTAGTCAAGCAAGAGGAGGCAAATTTCAATGTAAAGGAAGAATCACAAAGTTTTGAAAGCCCTTAATTAAAATTGCATTTCTAATGCTACCATTAAATTAATACAAATCCAAGGTTAACATTGCAATTATCAAACTTGCTATATATAAGGCAAGTATCCCTGATTTGAAAAGCCAAAGTGTGCATTCAAAATCCGGAACTGACAAAAAAAAAATCTGAAACTGATGTGACTCCAAAAGTGCAAAATTCCACATCTGAGCTCATGTGACAGGTCCTAGTCAAAACTCAGGAACATTGAACATAATATGTGAGATTACCTTCAGGCTATGTGTATAAGGTGAACATAAAACATCAATGAATTTTGTGTGTAGACTTGGATCTCATCCCCCAAATATCTCACTATGTATGGTATGTGTAAATATTCACATAAAAAAATCTGGCAGCCAAAATGCTTCTGGTCCCAAACATTTCAACAAGGGATGCTGCATCTGAAGTCTCTTCTGAGAAAACCCACACCTAGAGCTTCATACTGGAGAGTTTTCTCTGAACACCAGCACACCAGGCTCCTCCTTCATTTTTTTATTACCTACAGTCAGAGTCCAGTTGATGTAAACCCAGTGATAGGCACTTTTTAAAACAGGTTGGGTTCATCTCCCCACCTAGTGCTGTACCATTCAATGACATGTCACTTGCCTGCAGCTTCACAATATCGGACCAAGCGCCATCAATGACACCATCCTGGAAGTGGGCTGGCCATTCTCTGCACGGAATGAGTTTCTACTCTATATTTTTCATATTCAAACTCTGGGACCTCTGCGGTGTCAAACAAATCCTGATATCAACCCACAGGATATAAAGGTATGAGTCTGGTCTAACCAGTAGCATTATCTTCTATGATAAGGAAAAAATAAAAACAGTGGTTTATTTTTTTTTTAGTGAAGAAATTGTAAGTTGCTTCAATGATCACTGATCAATCACGCCTTTTAGTTTTATAAATTGCAAAACCTTAATTTAAAATCACACCCCTAGAAAACTTAAAATTCTCTTGGTTTTATTACTCATAGTGACCTGCCATTTATTTAGTGCATTTCAATATGCATCTTTTATAAGTTGTTCAGTTAGCAGTACAACCAAACCAAAATCCTAAATAGATATGTCACATGTTGGAGAATTTACACAAACTGTTACTTTTAAAGTCTTTTTGGTACGTTGCCCAAAGACATGAGGATCTTTGCCAAAATGGGCTCTCCCAGCTGTTGTCAACAGCAAGTGGTAAAACGTGAGAATTTAGCAGAGGATGTCTCAGTGTTGAGAAGTCCAGGCAAGGATGCTCAGGACCTATCATACTGAACGAAGCTCAGAGAGAAGCCAAGCAGTATAGCGCATTCTAGTCACTTTCACAGTGATTGTAGTCACTGTGAAAACGCAGAGGGTGGGCGGGCCTGAGATTCCACATCTCCAGCTCTCCTACCTCCTGTTCACACTGCTGGTCTGCTGGTCAGTACTCATTAACAATAAGTTCAAATGTCCAAAAGGCTGATCCCATCCAGACTAATATCCAAATTTGGACAAGCATGCTGGTGCACACCTGTATACCCTGCTACTGGGGAGGCAGAAGTAGGAGAATCATAGTGCAAAGCTGGCCCCAAATAAAAGTGTAAGGTACTATATGAAAAATAAACTAAAGGAAAAAGGGCTAGGAATGTGACTTAAGTGGTAGAGTACTTGCTTAGCAAGAACAAGGCCCTCAGTTCAAATCCCAGCACGTCAAAAAAAATCCAAATTTGGCTTCAGTTCCTTCTGAGAAGGAAAGAAAGAATTAGCATAAGCCCTTGAAAATGTCACATTTGTATGAAAACAAAATAAAACCTTGTGAATTAGACGTTGTCCTCAGAAGACAACTTCATTTAAGAGCATTGTCCTAGTAGCTATAAGGACACGGTGTGCCTAGTAGAAGGACTTCCTAAAGTCCTTCCTAAAGCACCGATTCAGTTGTTCAGGACACAGGTCGGCCTTCACCCTGGCCAAAGGCACTGGGTCACAAGTCACTATGAAAGGCTTTCTTTTTCATCAATATATGTGTCTGTATTCAGAGAGATGAAGACTAAAACGAACTTCGATAGTAAAGGACTCGTGGGGTAAGAAGCCACTTCTTTACGGCAAAGTAATAAATAAGGCCACTTGTATTACATAAAATTATTTAAAATACTTCCTCCCTGGAATTTTCTTCCATTTCCTCTTTCTTTGCTCTTCATGGAGATGATTTTAACATCTTCAAAGACAGTAGCTTATTACAAAGTCTTCAAATGTTAACATATGACATTGAAGTCATTCAAATTTCCCCATCCCCTGCGTGGTATTTAGCATGTATTATGTTTTCCCCTAGATTCTAGAAGCAGTGGTCATTCAGAAGGCTTCTGACTTCCTTTGAGTGCCATGTTTAGCTTATATCTGACACTGTTTATATGTGTTTGTATATATTATGTAACTTGTTTAATGTGTGCCATGTTGGTTGAGAGTTATTTTTTTTCTTCGTGTCAATTTAACAGTCATTTACTGGTGTTAGTGACTGGGACAGAACTAACAGATAGCTTGCTTTAAATGTTGACAGGTTCATGCAAACTGAGAGGAAGTATACACTAAGCATGCAGCATTCTCAGCTACCCGTTGATTTTTTTCAAATAACTCCTAGACTTCTGTCAAAAAAAAAACTGTCCAAAGCTAGGAATTTTTTTAATGCAACTTAATTTTGACCCTTTTAGAAAATATCCAATCTGTAAACACTGAATATAAAATCTGATTACAACATGAGGTAGCAGCTCCCTAAAATAACCAATTACAGCAACATATGGATTCTGGAAATTCTGAAGGTATGAAAAAGTTGAAGTGGCATTACTTTCTGGTTCTCAAAGCACTTTTTCCCAGATTTATCATGTGCCCCAGAGAGTCTAAAAGAATTTTTTTTTAATTAATTATTTATTTATTTATTTATTAGAAGTTCAGGGGTTGAACTCAGGGCCTCATGCATGGTAGGCAGGTGCTCTCCCACTTGAGCCATGTCTCCAGTCTTTTTGCTTTTAGTTTGTTTTTCGGGTAGAGTCTCGTGCTTTTGCACAGGCCATCTCAGACCACTGTCCTCCTGTCTCTACTTCCAGATAGCTAGAATTTACAGGTGTGTGCCACCACACCAAACTTGTTTTTGACACAGAGTATCACCAATTTTTTTTTGGTCCTGGGCTGGCCTAGGACTGTGACCCACTTATCTCTACTTCCCAAGTAGTTAGGATTATGGAGTATGCCATCATACACACTCACTAAAATAACTTTTATTAATAAATAGGATTTTTTGGTGGGGGGTTGGTAGTACTACCAACTGGGGCTTGAGCTCAGGGCCTTGCTAGGCAAGCACCTGGTCAGTTAAGCCATGCCTCCAACCCAATAAATAGATTTTTAAGATCAGTAATCAGCATATTTTATGTCAATTACTATAAGCAATTAAGAGAAATTGAAAATTATTTTCTTCTTAAGATATTATATAATTTCTTGATAAAGGTGCTACTTTTGTGGATATTTATTTCTTCCTAGAGAGTGCCAGAATAAAGTGTTTTCTCTGTCTTAAATACAAATGAGAAATCAGTGAAAAACAAATTATAATATTTCTATAACATAATGGGTCTAAATTTTTTAACTTTAATATCAATTTTAAATTACTTGAGTCAAGGCTAATTGCTAGGTTTTTTAAATAGAGAGTTTTGTGTTTCATTAGTAGCAGAGAAAGTGAGTTTAATAAAAGGAACAGGGAGACAAAAATATATATGTCAAAAGTAAGAATTAAATCCTGGAATTCAATTTTACTTAACCCAGAAAGTGAACTAAAGTAAAATTCCTTACCATTTGTTCTATTTGCCTGCTCAGAAACTCATGTTGAAATTTGATTCCAATATGACAGTGTTGAGAGGCTGGCTGTAGGACCTTGAAGGGGTGTTTGGTCACGAGGGCTTCGGTCTTATGAATGAGTTAAGGCCTGTTTCACAAGAGTGAGTGAGTTCTCCTTGGGGGAGTAAATTGACATCAGATCCAGTTGTTATGAAAAGGACTTCAGTTTCCGAGGCTCTGTCTTCCTTCCTCTCTCATCACATGACCCCTCTGTCCTTCCACTATGAAGGACACAAGCCAAGCAGGTGATGGATCCATCCAGGCTCTTGGACTTCCCAGCTCCAGAACCATGGCTAAAGTCAACTTTCCTTTATAAATTTCCCAGGTTCTAGTATTCTGTGATAGCCATAGAAAATGGAGTAAGACCATTTGTTCTGCAGTTCTAAACAGAGTGCTGGGTAGTAAGCGCATCTTGAAAACCCTCTGTGAGCAGTGTTCTTTCCACAAGTCCTTCCATTGTCCACTGGATTAGTCCCCAAAATATCCAGGCCAACCACGGTCCTGTCATAGGGAGCACTCACCCCACCTTCCTGAAGCAAAGGGATTTGCACACTTCTTCTACAACTGTGACCTTGGTTTCCTTTCTGCCAAATCCCTTTTTTGGGCTCAAAAACACTCTCTACTCAACTTTTCCCTCCTGATGTGTTTTCATTTTGGTCACTTATCACTGAAAAGAACTCTCTCCTTCCCCCTTCTCTTTCCCAAACCTCTCACAGATTTTTGTTTTGGTTTGGTTTGGGTGGGATTTTTTGTTCATTTGTTTTTGAGACAGTGTCTCACTATGTAGCACAAGCTGGACTCAAACTCATAATCCTCTCACCTGTCTCCCAAGTGCTGGCATAACAAGTATGCACCACCATGCCTGGCTCTCTCACACAGATTTCTTTAAAAGAAAGAAAAAACAACTTACTCATGAAAAAGAAGCTATCCCATTTCCTTAGAAGCATTTCCTAGGCCACCCACTCCTTGGAAGCAATGCCACCAACTCTAAAGCTTTTGAAATATCCTAGATGTACCCTCAGAATCTCGAAAAGCTTCCACATACTTTCTTATTTCCCTTCACTTAACCCTATTCTCACCTAAATATCAGCATATATGGTATTAAATATAACATTTTTCCACTTTTAAATCACTCATATGGCCACAGCACTGAATATTACTTTTTATTACAAATACCCAGTTTTATGGCATCAAAACCATTTTCAGACTTAAGTAGGTTTTTTTTGTGGACTGGCTTGAGAACTGAGCTACCATTTAAAACATCATTTCTAAGGCAAAATACATTCTATAAGCCAAACATCTAGCCCAAATCCTTGTGAAATCCAACCCGTCTACAAGCTGAAGATATGTTCCAAATGTAACACAAGCCTCAGAATCTTCTCCCATAAGCCTTGAAGGCCAAAAAGTCTGACCTTAACAAGGTTTGATTTTTCACACTGGTAACTGGCACAGTTTGGTTATTCCACTGAGTTACCCTATAGTCCCCAAGTTTGAGGAAGGGGCACTGACTGCCTTTTTAAACCACCACAATCATAGTAACCTGTGGCTGCTTTAGGACACAATAGGCAAACATTCTCACCCACATCTGCCCCACTCATTGCTGTGTGCAGAGCATCAGCCATTAAGTTGAAGTGGGGCAAGGATGACCATGCTCATGGATGTCACTAGATGTTTGTGCATTTTTTCTATTTAAATGTCTATCTTACATGAGGCTTCATGGGATTCATTCAACTGGGTTTGTCCACATTGTTCAAACCTCAGAGTCTGAGAATAGGTAGAAGTATGGGTGGTAACAGTGGGTTCAAGAGAAGAAGGGATGACTACATACCCTTCATTTTCTACCTGACAAAACCAAGGCTCCAGCTGAGGTCCAGCATAAGGGTACAGTAGTGCCTTGGGCTCATTCCTTCCTGCTTTCATTTTAACCTCCCAATGAAAAGGTGGCTGCCTTTCAGCTGTTCCTCCGTGATAGCTTCCACCTTGTCAGGTTTGGTTACTGTCTGCTATAACCTTAAGGTCATAAGCAGACATCCAGGAAGGTTCTGCCTCCAGGCTTATGGTCTAGGTTAAAGGGCAAAGATTTTAATGTGGCAATTTCTTCACATTCTACCACCTAAAACATTTTGAAGCATTCAACTGTCTTTAGCATTCAGAACAATCCATTAAATCTAATTTGTTCCAGTTCCTTCTTGGAATAAAATTTTAGAGTTGAAGAAAGTATTTCTCAAGTATACTAAAGGCAGTAAAATAATTACTTCAAACTATCAATTTTGTTATTTTGGTGGAGTTTATCCTAGGGTTTGGAGAGTTCTTCAGACAGGCTATGATCGTTAGATAAAATGAGGTTGAAAAAGTGAGCCCAACTAAGAAACCAGAAGTTTCATCAAGAGGAAAGGACTTTTTTCAATTGGCAGGACTCTGTAATAGGCAGCCAAGTGTAAGATGCTGAGGGAAAGGGTATGGAGTACGAGGCTGTATCTAGGAGAGACAAAGAGGCCAAATATAACCTGCCTTAGGGTCACAGTAGACAGTCTGGGCCTGACATCAAGAAAGGAGAGTCCTGAGGTAAAAACAATTTGACAGAGACTAGACTAGGAAACACCTAATGGGAGATGCCTGAGTCTATGTTGTTTGAAAGCACCATGGTTAGATCCATGGAAACCAGGAGGTCGCCACTGAGTCTCTTCATCTCTTCCTCAAGACCCATCTCACAGGAAGTCCAAATTATAACCAGATAGCAAAACATCTACAGCAAAACTCCAAACCAGTCCATTTGTCAAGGATTATAGACCTGAAAATCATTTTTTAGAATCAAATGTTCCTGCAGACAGTGGCTTGGCAAATTTGTACAGTTTGTCTTATCCTTAACAAGATTTTCTTTTCTGCTGACTGCCTCCACTTAACATGGTTCTCATTAATTCAAAACGCATGGGTGTTTATTAGCTCCTAAACAACAGTGCTTGTTCACTCATTCAACTCTCTCCTCTCCTCTCTTCTCCTCTCTCTCTCTCTCTCTCTCCCTCTCTCTCTCTCTCTCTCTCTCTCTGTCTTTCTCTCTCTCTCCCCACACACACATACACACACCCCTTAAAAATCAAGACATCAAAAGACAATTCAGTGTATCATTACTATTAGCTACTCACTTCTTTTTATTATTTTTGGAATCATTTTGAGGGCCTTGAAATTTGCAGCCACAATTTATTTCATAGTTAAAGCAATATTTGATGTCTCTGACTTTCCTTTTTAATGCTCAGGCTTCTACTATGAGCTGTCCTTCCAGAAAAGTCTTAGCTATTATTTATTTCAGAAGATCTGATCAGGAGAGCAAGATCTGATTTTAATTGTCTTCTCTTCCAACTGTGATGTCAGAGTGACAACTACCATTTGCTCCTGAATTTGTCCTCACCATTTGCTCCTGAATTTGTCCTCTCCATCTTGCAATACACTCTCCTCTAGGAATGCTCCCTCCAAGAGAAGAATTTCATCCATCTTTATTCTTAACAGTGCCTGTAGAGCCAATTCTTAACTACCAAAGAGAGTATGTTCTCTGGGACCTATTTCTTTTGCCTATCTTGAGATGGTCTCTTCTCTCTCTCTCTCTCTCTCTCTCTCTCTCTCTCTCTCTCTGTGTGTGTGTGTGTGTGTGTGTGTGTGTGTGTGTGTGTGTGTGGTTTGTTAGCTGGTTTTAAAACAGGGTCTCCCTGTGTAGCCTAGGTTAGCCTCAAACCTCAAGCTGAATCCTGTGGCCTCAACTTCCCAGATAGAGACCTCAGCCCCTCGGCCCATATGTATCTCACAATGTAACACTCCAGGTCCAAAGACTAAGAAAGACTTCATCATTATTGATGGACTGGTTTGATCCTTCTAGTTATGCATTGCATGAATTTTTCAGAAAGAAAATAAAATGGAGGTTTCCTTTCCCCACAAATCCTTACCACTTATGTCTTAATTACATGGTGCACAAAACCCTAGACTTGTTTCCACTTAGAGTTAATTATAGACAAAGAAGTCCATGAGAATAGTTTACTGTTTCTTGTAGCTTAGAATACCTGAAATCCAAAGACACATCACAAACAAGAAAAAGATAGTCTGCATTGCTTTTGATGGGTTCTCAGTGCACCGAATCATATTTCACCTAACCCCTTCTCAAATGCTGCTCCTCCCAGTGCACAGCACATCCTGGCTACACGGTGTCACTTAATTCATACATTAAAACCTATACCACAGTGAAGATTTTGGCAAAGAGTCATCAAAATAGAAAACTTATGCAGGATCAAATTCTGAGTGGCAGCTGAAAAAAGAAACAGATTTATGACAATGATTTCCTGATCGCCAAAAGAAGCCATTTTCATTCTTTCTGAAAAGGCCACCTTGGTGTTATCCACTAGCTTCTCATTTATACTCTGAACTGCATGTCTGCCTAACACGGGTGCTCAGAAGTCAACCTTCTTCACTTCCACTGAGTTCAAATTAAGGAGTAACATGGCCTGTGGTCATGCCTAACTGAGAAAGAGGCTCCCCAGTGTTCATCTAGAAAATGGACTTTAACTGTTGTTTACATTTCTGGGATAACTTCTTCTTTGCTTTATACCTTGCTTTGCTTTTGAAATAATTTCTGGAATTCTATTTGAGAAAACTGGTTTGCAAGCTTTTTGGAGCCCTTTGAGTATGGTGTTTAAAGTGGTATTGATCTGCTTGTAAAACACTTTACAAAAAGAAGGAAATGTTTTCTATCAACCCCTGCCTTGCAGTGGGCTTATACTCTAGCTCAGACTAAGTTCTGTGCTTTCTTGAGAGAGCAGTTATTAAGATTTGGGAATGATAATAACTCATTGCTCAGGGATATTCCAGCATCCACAGGCTGATCCATCCAAGGCCTCACCTCACTTCCACGAGTTTCATCATCCCAGTACTTCAGCCACTGGTCTTCGACATGGCCTCTAGGTACCATGCTTCTGAAGTAGCCTACTCCACATCCTCTTCTTCAAACATTCTTCTATTTTTTTCATGTTCTCACTTTCTCTTTCCACTCAATCTTCTGTTCCTTACTGTGCACATTTTCTCTGAGGGAATTAACCTACCCCTCCCTCAAGACTTCCTTGGCTGTACTTTCTTTCCTACCAAGTCTGAAATCCAAGATTTGTTGCCAGAAACACTCGTTTACAAGCTGCTTTAATCTCCCTTCTCTAATATCCTTCCAAATCCCTGCTCTGAACATCTCAGCCATACCCAGTTCCACAGTCTTCCTTTTAGCTCCTGATGCCATTATGGATTGAGGGTGGAAAGTGCTCATTAGCAGTTGGTGTCACAGGAAGTCTGTCCTTGTTCTCTTCATTGGTTTCTCCAACTGTCCCTACTCTTCCTGTTCTTCCTATCCACTTTCTCTCACTTTGCTTTTAGTAGGTGGCCTTAAAACAAGAAAATCTCCAAATGATCTATTTCCCCATCCCAACCTCTCTCCCTACTCCACACCTTGTAATCACATGAGACCTGTGTCATGCTACAGATGGTCTGTCTGTCTGTCCAGTAGATTTCTCCACATCCTTATAATATTCTCATTATTATCATTCCATCTTTTGTGGTACACATCTGCAATGTAGGAATTTCTTTTTTCATTCCAGATATGAACAAACTAGTGTTGCTCCCATGACTTAAACACAAATCAGGTAAAAAAGACGTCATTGTTAGAGTGTAAATGAAAGGCAGAGAATTCAGTTTCTATATTCAGTTGGTCTAAAATAATGTGAATAGGCTCAGGTGTGGTGGATTACAACTGTAATCCCAGCTATCAGGGAGGATCATGGTTTGAGACCAGCCTGGGCAAAAGTTAGCAAGACCACATCTCAACCAACAAGCCAAGTATCATGGTGTGTATCTGTAATCCCAGCTAGATGGGTGGTGTATGTAGGGGGATCATGGTCCAAGGATGGCCCCAGCCAAAAACACAAGCAGTGTCTGAAAGACAACTAAAGCATAAAAAAGTGCCAGGGACATGACCCAAGCAGTAGAGCACCTGCCTAACAAGCATGCAGTTTCAAACCCCAGTACCACCAAAAAATAAATAAATAAATACAATAATGTGAATAGGTTATTGTGTGTGATTTATTGAAACTCTCAAAATAGTTCTCCAGCCATCAGATGTAGCCAGCATGGAGCCTGAGCTAACATCACCAGTTCCAGAACATTGCAAACAACCTGGGCTAGAAAGTGAGCTCCATGACAGTGTGACATGCATGAGACTGCGGTGGGAATGGTGATCTCATTAGGATGCAGTTGGTTTGCTCCTGAGGAAGCACTTGTCAAGAGCCTAGGATTAGGGCACAGCCATGGGCACACCAGCCCCTCAGTCATGTTAGACTTAACCCCTACTTTTCTGCTACTGCCAGACCCATCGCCCCACACAGAGTGTTCCTTCATTTAGCCAGAGGGAGGTAACAAGGGCATAACTCAGGCTAGAAAAGTTAGCGCCACAGGTTCCAGACTCGTGGGGAAATTACTTCTGCTTAAATCCTATCCTTATAAGAAAACCTTCCCAATGATGTGTTCCTGCGCTCCATGAATTCCCAGAGCTAGAGTGTACAATCCTGTCCTGCAGGTCATCTTTCTGTCCAGCTTGCACTGGCACACCACAACATGTCTGGGCTTTCCCATGAATCCAATTCAACAGGAGAACATTTGCCTAGAGTTTAAGGCCAATGCAAAGGTAAGAGATACTCAAAGGATTAATTGTATGTGATTTCCACTATTTTCTCTTTGCAGCCTGCTGCCTCTCTGGAAGACACTCCAGAGCTCAGTGCCTTTTTGCGAAACTCCACCATTCCTCATCTCATTCGGAAGCGGGATGCACCTGTGGTCCAACTCCACAGACAGAGCCCTGCAAAGATATTGGTGAGTTGTCTCCATGGGTGGAGAATCGAGGGAAAAGTCTGGATTCAACAGAATTCCCATATACAAATGGTTTTCACTTTGAGTTTGGCTTTTAGTCTCCTCTGATGCTCAGATTTGCCTGAGAGTTTTAGGCAAAACATTTTTTGTTTTGTTTTGATGGTGCTGGGGATTGATGTCAGGACTTCGTACTTGTGAGGCAGGAACTCTACTTCTTGACACATGTCTCCGTTCTTTGACAGGACATATGGCAAGAATGAACATGCCTTTTTTATGATACTTAAGGAGTATTTGCACTCTTCTCAATCTGCATATATATACACACACACAATGGAGTATGATTTGGCCAAAAAGAAGAATAAAATTTTCAAGAAAATGGATGGAACTAGAGACCATCCTGTTAAGCCAGACACAGAAGCAAACATCGCATTGTTTTGTCTCATATACAGAATCTAGAATTAAAAAAAAGAATGATCTGAGAGTAGTAGAGGGATGCTAAGGAAAAGAAGAGACTAGGGTAAGTAGAGAGAGAGGAAATACAGATATGATCAATGCACAACATACACATGTATGAAAATGTCACAATGAAATTCGTTAATACATACAATTAATATGCATTGATAATTAAAATGAAAATCCAGAAAGCAAAGAATGAGGAGATGAGAGAAAAGCATTATGTTTATTAATAAGTCTGTTGTAGGCTTAAGTAGTAGAGTGCCTGCTCTGCAAGCATGAAGCTCTAAGTTCAAACCCCAGACCCAACAACAACAAAAAAAGACCTCTACGGTATTGTATTGTATTGTATTTCCGGGCATAAGTAAGTGTAAAATAGGGCTGGCAAAGTGGCTCAAGAGGTAGAGCCCCCTACCTAGTAAGCAGGAAGCCTGAGTTCAAACCACAGTACCACAAAAAAGTAAGTGTGAAATAAAATCTGTGTATTAAGAAAGGCATAGGTGTGATAGCTCATGCCTATGGTCCCATATACTTGAGAGACAGAGATAGGAAGATCATAGTCCAAGTCCAGCTCAGGCAAAAGCACGAGACTATATGTGAAAAATAAATTTAAAACAAAAGGACTGGGGAGGTGTGGTTCAAGTGGTAATGCCTGCTTAGCAAGCATGAGGCCCTATGTTCAGTTCCCAGTTCTAACAAAAATAAGTAAATACAAAAGAATGATATGGCCTGTTGAGGCCCCCTAGGCCAAAACCTCTGAGTGTCTGCACTGGGGTCTATTCTGTGGTTGGTCTCCTTGAACTTAGCCAAGACTTTGCAGAAACCATGGACAGCATTCAGGAGTCAGTGTCTGATGCAGTTCTCCCACTCACCCCAGCACTGGTTCTACAGCTTTCTCTCTCACATGAGTGTTCATCTTCTCCTCTGACCATGTGGCAAACACACATAGAGTGTCAAGGTACAATTCATCAGTATTACACAGACCCGCTCCATAAAGAGGAGGAAGCTACCAGCCCATTCTCCAGCTATGCACCTGAAAATCCAACCTCTTCTTCAAAATCTAGCAGACATGCACCCAAGGTCTGGGGGTTGGGATGCAGTGGGGGCCAAGCAGGTGTTTCTTGACTCACAACTGACCTACAGCTCAGTCTGAGATGCATTATCCTGTGGTAATGCTGAATCAAAAGCCACAACCAAAGAGCCAAGTGAAAGAGAAAGACCCTGGGCTGGAGGCCTTGGGCAAGCTGAGGGGAGGCACAGGCAGAACCTAAAGACCACCCTTACCCTACAAGGGCTCCACAGCTATTTCTACAGGGGCAGCAGTCACTGGCTTGGCCATAAAATACCCAAACCCACACCGCAGTGCCTCCTCAGGAGATGTAGATTCCAGAAATTTGGAATCCTTCCCAGGCTCATCCGGATACTTGGGGCAGCTTCTTTATCCGCTTGCCCACCCTACAGAAAGCTCACAGACAGATATTCCATTTGCCCAGCACTGTTTCTCCAGGGTGCTGCCCAGTGCTTGGCTCCTTGGTTGAGCAACTGTGTGAATAACACAGTCACCAAGCAAGTCAAGGTCACTACTGATAGCTTTTGGAGTCACCTCCACAATGCCCTTGGTGTGCCATACCACCTGTTCTTTCTCCTCTTTAACTTTCAACCCAATTTTAAGCCAATATGTTGTAAGAGGTTGATAAGATAGTATTGGTGATGACTAAATCACTAGCTGCCTAACTACCAAGTTCAAAATAAGAAGGCTGTGAGGAAGGTGTGAGAGTTTGCTTTAGGAAATATAATTAATTGTCCAGCCACTTATCACAGGGAAAGAATGAAAGGTAGCTGAAGGGAGCAAATTGAAGCTTGAGGAATTGAAACACTGAATTTAGCATTTGAAGAGGAGTAACAATGACCTCAGTTTACAAAATTGAAATATGAAGGATAAAAAGGACTGAAGATGTAGATTAGTGGTAGAGCATGTGCAAAGAAAAAAAAGAGGAATGGAAGGAGGGAGGAAAGAAGGAAGGAACAGAGGGAGCTAAGGAGGGAGAGAGGGAGGAAATTGTGTGCACATGCACTGAGGAAACACATTTTTTTGTCTTCTATTGTTTCTCATTAAATATTTTTGACATAGATAATTTTTAACTTCTAAATATCAGAGAAATTTATTTACTTATAGATGACTGTAAGGCATCCCAGGCTTTCCATGTCCAATTTCAGTTCATATTTTATTCTCCTTTTCTCTTATTGGTTCAAACATTGCAAACTATACACCTCACTGTATCCTGGAGTCAAGAAAGCTCAGGATGGGGAGTGATTATGCAAAGTTTATTCTAAAATCAAAAGTTAAACAAGACCTCCTACAGTTTTTGTTTGCTTAAAAACAACTTACTGAGTCACATTTTTGATTAGGAATTTGAAAGTGCAAAATGCCAACCTCCTGTTTGGGGATCAGCATTTCCAATTTGCATTTTAAAAGGTTTGTATCTATGGCACTGAAATATAATTCTCTTCTGCTTAAGAAGATCTTTGTCTTTCTTGGGACCCTGCTGCATTTGCCATTGTCACCTCCATCTCCTCCTCTCCAAACTTTTCTCTCTTCCCTTTCACTAGTCCTCTTACAGTGGAGTCTTTCTTGATTTCTGTTGAGCATTTGATACCATTGGCCATTTCTGGAAACTATCACATCCTTGGCTTCGTCCTCAAACACTCTCTCCTGGCTTTCTTCTTCCCTTTGGCCATCTCCATGTCAGAATTTTTCATGGGCGTCTGTTCCTCTCATCCTTCTATGTCCCTGTTCCTATCTTCAGTCCCCTCCTCTCCTCTTTCATCATTGCTCTCTTTCTTGTGTGACCGTATCTCCAACACAACAAGAGGAGCATCGTTCTGTGTATGACTCATAGAAAACAGATTGTGGTGGATCCGTTTCTTTCCATACTGGGACCCAGTCAGAAACTATGATTCAATGAGTAGAATATCATCATATTGAATACTTCCCAGGACTCATGCATTTCATCATATTGACAGTGACCTGTTATAAGTTGGGCAACACTAGAAAGTAGAGTAAAAACAGCTTAGTGAGTGGAATTCAAAGAAGGGTCTGCTCTACAATCAGGAAGTAATTTGGACAGTGCAAAGGATGTTATGGAACAAATGCTTCTCCATTAGTCAACTTGAGTCTTTGAGGTTACACAGACTCTGGAACTTCTGCTGTGACCCTTTCCAGGGTCTGATGTGACATCCAGTGTCATGAATGACTATAAGAAATGTCTTCCTGAGTTCTGAGACAGTGAAGCAGAGCAACGCATTGGCTGCTGCAAGAAGATGATTTGAGCTCTTGGGAAGGATTGTTTATGTTGATTACTACTAAGCAGTACTTTTCTTGGTGGCTAATTCATTCTTGTTTTGTAGATGCTGGGGATTGAATTTGTGCTTGAACTTGCTAGGCAAGCCATCTGCCACTTGAGCCACACACCCCCAGTCCTTCAGCTTTTAGGTTTTTTTGCTTTTGTTATTTTTGTTTTTATCAGATAGTCTTGTGCTTTTGGCCCAGGCTAGCCTTGGAGTGTGGTCTTCCTACCTCTGCCTCCAAAGTTGCTGGGATGCCCCACCACACCAGGCTTAATTTATTCTTTCTTTAAATTAAGTAAATAAAATGAAATCCTCAGTATATAAACTGACTTTAGTGCTGATTTTCTACCGTCACTTAAAGACACTAATGTGTGGCTACTACTATTGTATTTTGCAGAATTGCACAAATATCGAGTGTTTACAAATCTCTTGTACAGTGGGACGACTAGGAGGAGGAGAAAGTGCAGTTTTGAAAATCAGATCTCGACTCTGGGCCCACACATTCCTCCAGGTAAGAAAAGTCTCAACATACCATTTACTGGAAAGGGAATCTCTTCTCAAAAACTCTACCAGAAGCCTATTTTTAAGGATTTTGAATTAATTTTTCCCTTTATTCTAATTAATTAATTAATTTTATTCAGGCAATACCAGGGTTTGTACTCAAGGTCTTGTGCTTGCTATGCAGGCTTTCTACCACTTGAGCTACCCCCTTAGCCCTTTTTGCTTTAAGACAATCCTTTTGCCATAGTTGGTTCTATCAGTCTTAGGAACCTAAGATATTGCGTGTAATGATGGTGTCTCACGCTTTTGCCCAGGGCTGGCCTCAGACCATGACCATCCGAACTCTACCTCCCAAGTGTCTCGCTCAAATTTTAACTACTAAACGAATATTGAGTTCATTGCACCACAGAAAATCAAATGGTAAAAGAGAATGATGGAGGGGGTGAATTCAACTATGAAATATTATAAGAACTTTGGTAAATGTCACAATGTACCCCTACTACAACAATAATGTGATAATTAAAAAACAAGAAAACCAAATGGTAAACTCCTTTGAGTCTACCTACCAATATAGACATCTGGGTCTCTAAGTTTTCATGTTCGTTATTATCTAAAACACTTCTGTAGCCTCACTAATGTGATTTAATTTTGATTCTAAAAGAAACAGGAGAAAAATTACTTTTTAAAAGGGTCCCTCACCACTTAACATTTTGGATGGGATAATTCTGTGTTGTTGGAGCCATCCTGCTCATTATAGGATGCTCATTGGCATTCCTGGTTTTTACCCACTAGATACCAGTAGCTGCCCCATCCCACTTGTGCCAACCTAGAATGTTTCCCCACATTGCCATGTCTTTTGGGAACAACATCATTTCCAGTTTTGATCCACTAACCTAAGGAGAGGAGCAGTGCCTAATATATTTGATTCTTTTCTTCTTTTGAGCAAATTATTATTTGTTCAACAAATATTGATGGACTACCTGCTGCATGCCAGGCACTATTTCCCAGGGAAATAGCAGTGAGGAAAGCAGAGGTAGCACTTACCTTCACAGAGTTGTTACCTTTGTAACAACAAACAGGTGCATGAGCTCATTTTAGCTAGAGACAAGTGCCCTGCTGACAGTGAGACGGGAGAGGGATAGAAGAGTCAAGAAGGAATCTTCTGGAAGTATGGGCATAGGAGATTGTTCTAAGCGGGGGACCTGGAGCTGAGAGCTGAATCGTGAAAACCTACAGAATCCCAGTTAGAGCAATCGCCAGTACAAAGGCCCAGAGACCAGAACTCTTTTGACATATCCAAGGAACAATGGAGACCAGTATGTTTGAATTACCATAGATGAGACAGAAATACAAAGGGATTGTATAGCATAGAAAGGAAACTTGATTTCATCCTAAATATAATGGCAAATTACAAATAAATTAATATCAAAAGCATTAGGATTTTGTTTTAAATGAGCAAGAGTGAATGAATAAGTTGCTGCATAGCCAGAGAAAAGAATACTATACAGCTTTTAAATGAATGAGATATATTAATACAGATGAATCTCAGGAACATAGTATTGAATTTAAAAGATAAATCAAGAATGAGTCTAGGTTTTGTTTGTTTTTTATAGATTTCAAAAACAAGCAAAACTAAGCAGTACTAGAAAACTATGGAGGGGGAAATCCTGGAGGAGGACAAAGAGAATGTTCTGAAGGTACTGGTTGTTTCACAGTGAGCGCCAGGCATCCCTGTGTTCATCTTGGAATTTTTCTCTATCACTATATGCTATAAATGATGGCTTATATTCACTCAATTTATTCAATAAAATAGCTTTCAAAGCTATTTTATTTTGAGAGGACTAAGACAGTTTCCAGGGGAAATGATGGAGGCTTACACTGGCGGCAGGACAGCAGGGCAAATGAAATGAGGTTTAATTCAAGATTTATTTCAGAGGGAAAAACCAATGACGTGTTGAATTTATTGTTGAGAGAGTAAAGGAAATAGAGGAATCTAGAATGTCTCCAGGGTTTTTTAACGAAGCTAAATGGTGAAGATGACAGAGGGAGGCTATCTTAGTAGAGGAAACTAAGGTTTCTTTTTCAGTTTTATAGTTCTGATTGTATTTGTTATCTATTGTTGCATAACAGTTTTTCCCAAAACTTAGCAGCTAAAAACAATAAGCACCCATCCTTTTACTGAGTGTCAGGACTGTGACCACAGCTTAGCTGTGCCACATGGCTGAGTGACATAGTTAAGATGTCAGCCAGGACTTCAGCTATCCGAAGACTTCATTGGGTTTGGAGAACGCTCCCTAAGATTCTTGGGGATGTGTGAAGAAAGTGAGTGCTTGTTGGCAGAGGGCCCAGATCCTTGCAAAGTGATGCTGTCCATATCACTGCTTGAGCATCTTCCTAGCATATAGCAACTAGCTTTCCCGAAGCAAGTGATCCAGGAGACAGCAACACTTTTATGTCTTTTATGACTTAGCCATGGAAGGTACATCCTGTCACATATCAGCTGTGTTCAATATGAATTGATAGCACCGAAGACTATGACTACCCAGAGGAAAGAATCACTGGGGGCTTCCTTGAAAGCTGGCTGCCAAAGATACATTAACCAATTCTCGAATTTCCTCTTAGCTGAAATTTATGTCAAAACTTAAGCCTATTTTTCTCTAGTCAGGTGAAACCAGGAATAAGTTATATCATTACACTCAATATCTTAGGTTCCTAAGACTGATAGAACCAACTATGGCAAAAGGATTGTCTTAAAGCAACAGAAATTTATTCTTTCACCATTCAGAAGGTGAGAAGTCCAAGGTGTTGACAGATTGGTTGGCTCTGGAGGCTCTGAGAGGGAAACCAGTATGTGCAAGGCTCCTCCTTGATTGTGATGGTTGCCAGTAATGCTTGACCTTCATTGGCTTGTGGACGCATCACTAACCTCTGCCACCATCTTCATATCACCTTACTCAGCATGCCTTTGTGTGTTCTTTTCCATATCTTTACGGACACTTTCCTCGATTTAGAGCCCACCTAATCAGATAATCTCATCAAAACCTTCCTTAATTATGCCTGCACAGACCGTTCTTCCAAGTCCTTATTATGAGATTCTAGATGGCCATGATTTGGGGGTTGAGGGGGGGACACTATTTAATCCACTACAATCTGTGGTCTTATATCCCTACTTGCAAGCTTTGCTACTCCATTTTTCATTGTGTTATAACAATTTCTTTAATCTAGTAAATTACTTCTAAAATACCTCACTAATCTTAGTATGAGGGGAGATAATTAGGGCTTAAGGTATTTTTGTTATGACTGTTCTCTTTCTGTTCACGATATATCTTTCAGTTTACTCTCAGACACATCATTACTAATCATGGGCAAAAATTTTAATCAAAACAGTCAGTATAGATTCCTTTATTTTTTTTGATAAATATTGCCAAAAGTGTATTGTAAACACGTTTATAAATTTTATGAACACAACATTCATTTGTGAAACCTACCCCTAAACAAAGTGATATGTAAAAAAAAAAACAAAACTGTATGTGCACATTAAAATCAGGTTCAAGGAGTACTGACCCTGGCTTAAATTAGAAAGCATCTGGTTTTGCTGCCCGTGGTGGATATGGGCTCAGGAAGCTTGAGCTCAGTTCCATTCCTCACTGGCTGTGTCCAAGGCCCTTAACTTTCATGTGACTCAAGTCCCTCATTTGTGAGATGAAGGGGCATACTAAAGGCTCCTTTCATTCCTGAAAATTCCCTGATCTATGGGCAGCTCACATGGAACCTCTCCCAATCAGTTATTTATGGTGTTTATTCTACTTAGCTCGAGTCAGCAGTAACTCCACGTGCTTTATTAATAGCCTTCTTTTGTATTGTTGACACATTGGTTGACTCAGAACAGACTATGTCTAAATGGTTCTCTAAATGTAAGGAACAGCCAACCAGCCTTCCCAAAGAGGTCTATTTGTCTGCATCTAGCCAGGTGTCTATTGAGTGATAGCCAAGTAGCTAGGCACCAGGATGAAGGCTTGCTTATGAATTTTCATTGAATTCTCACAGCAGTCCTGTGGGATATGGACTATTACTGTGAACTGCATCACACAAGAGCAAACTCAGACATAAAAATTAAGTGCCCTTTCCAAGGTCACATAGGCAGTAAGAGGAGGAAATCTGTGAGCTTTTGTCCTGTGTGTATCACTACACGACATCGCTGAACTACAGGTGACTATGTGATAATTACCCATAGGAAATTTTATATCACTATCATGCTGTGACAGCTTGCTAAACTATAACTACTATATTATAGGTTACTATATTGTATCCAGCATATAGACATGCTTTAAGTAGCATGTATGAAAACTTTATACCTTTGTGAAGACTCTGTAAATTGCATGAGTATACTACTTCAGACTCCAGCAAAGAAAACATAATTCTTGAATTGTGCTGCCCAAACTACAGTAATATTCACATATGGTTATATAAATTTAAATAATTTCAATTTAAATGTAATTAAACATTCACTTCCTAGGTCTCACTAGTCACATTTCAAGTCTTCAATAGTCACAGCTCACGGCTACTCTATAAGACTGTGCAAAAAAACAGCAGTTGTTTTCTAGCACTGCTGACTCAACTCAGGACATGTCCCCAGCCCCTTTGTTTTTAGTTTGCTTTGGAGACAGAGTCTCTTGCTCACTGTGTCTGGTTGAGATCCTTTACCCGCCTTGAAGTAGCTGATAAGGAACATTTCTATCCTTGAAGAAAGTTCTATTGGACTGCCTGTTTCAGAACTTTAAGGAAGTATATTTCCTTCAAACTTACAGGACAGGGTCTAATTGTCACTTATCTATGAATGAAGACCTGGACTGTGTTTAATATTAGCTTTCTGACTTTCATTATGTCCCCTCCCAAAGTACGAACAGGGCCCCTTTTTGCTTCATTGAAGTGTCATCTGCCACCTCAAAAGGCACTTTTCACTAAGCATAATGTAACAGATTTGAATCAACACAACAGTCTCTTGCTCTT